ATTCATGATGCATGTCCGAAAAAGCGATCAATGCGGAATGTTTTGTCTTTCATATTTCGGTACCTCACCGTAGAAACAACTTTTAAGTTTGAAAAACTTACGTAACAATTAAGTATAGTGGTCAAAACTTTAAAGTATAGCCTTTACAATTTGCGTTTTGGAGTTTCCAAGTTGCCTGTGCTTCCTGAGAAGGCAAAATGGAGCGTGTGACCGATTCGAAGTGTATGGATTTTTGACATTGTCTTCACCTAAATTGGCATGTCATGGCTTTGTAATCAGCAGTATTTGCTTAATTCAACACACAACGCCCAAATTTGGTTTCGCCCAACAACTGACGACGTGCGCATTTCGTTCACCTTACGATGCGGTTTGTTTGTGTTTTTTTCTTTTTTTGTAAACAGTTCAATTACATGACTAATGACCCAAATCTTAGACGTTAAGAAATGCCATGGAGTTTATTTTTTAACAATTGAAGAATATCAGTGTAGCTTCCACCACCATTTGGTCGTCAAATAATCTGAATCCTTGGATATATATATATATATATATATATATATATATATATTCCTACGAACTGCCCTTGTTGAGCTGACGCGAGGTTGGTACAGATGTTCTTATTGTTGTTGTTGTTCAACGTCTGACGTTTCGGCGACTTAGCCTTCCCCTGACTCTGGATATACCACATGTAACAGTAGCTCTACAATTCGGTGAACTCTTTAGTTAACCTGAAACCGTCAGCTAAACAAGGGTAGTTCGTAAATATATACATATATGTATATATATATATATGTATACATACCTATGTGTATACATATATGTATATATATTCACCTATATATATATACATATATATATCCATTATTATGCCCAGATTTATAGAAGGTTGATCTTTTGAATCCTATGTTCTGTTCCTTCGTGATCATTAGCTAGCAACGAGAGTTCATGTAAACGAGGGCGAAGATAGTTGGTTTTTTTTGTTATTAAAACTGGCCATATGTCTGACTTTTCACAAGCATAGCCGCGCCCATGTTATTTCGTGAAGACAAATACAACAAAAACGTGTTTTTTATTTAACATTTAGCTAATTCATATGGTTTGTTTCTGTTCCTCTTAACGAGGAATTTATTCTGCAGCGGTCATCACCAGTCGGGTAGACGAAAAGTTACGGTGGTTCTAACAGTGGCTTTGGTTTCGTAGTTCTAACACTCTAGAATAACGTATTTCTTTCGGGAAAGGGAATATGCATCTCGCAATATCTCATTTTGTTATCCCTTTCATTCATCGCTTTTTTCAGATGTTATTACAAAATTTTCATTTATGCGTATGCTTATTTATTGAGAAAGTGAAAGCCAAAGCGAGAGCATTAAATTCCTTTCTAACTCCCCACATTCCCACATTTTATTCCTTTTCTTGTGGTCCATCGGTTTTCAGGTTATAGTTAACCTAAACATGATTTCTATCATAAAACGCATTGTTTCTAATAATCACAGATTATTTTGCAAAAAGAGTTTAGACTCTAATAAAGAACATGATCGGTGAAAAAGGGCAATATCAATTTTTACTTTTACTGCTTTTTTTTTCCTAGCATTTCGTTCAATGTCCCTAGTTTTCTAATTCATTCTGTATTTAAATTTAAAAAGGGAAAGTAAAATGTGAATGTAGACCATGTCGTGATTTTTAATATTATTATGAGTTTTGTAGTGACCAGTTTAATATTTTCTGAATATTTAATTTTTAAAAGAAGGCCCATTCTTTAAAGTCTTCCGAAAAAATAATAATTGTGGTGTTTCCGATGGCCTTCTCTTTTTTTTCCCGTCGCATTTTGATGGACTGTTGCTGTAGCTGTGAGATTGAATGCCATTGGCTGGATTGAATTCGACGTGGAATCCAATTTCCTTATAGTTTGATTATCTAGGGGAAAATTCTCTTACTATATCAATTTACGCTTGCAATTTATCTAAAATATACATTCCTAGTTAAAACTAATCATTCGTAATGACGTCGTGTTTGAAAAAACTGCGAATTCCTTCAGGAAATTATTGGAAGTGTTGTAGAATTTTCTTGTTATATTTTCCTTCTAAGGGTATAAATACCGCCGTCCTAAACTAGTGACCTTTCAAACTACAACTATTCTGCAACATGAACCGACAGCAACAGACTTATAGTTCGAAGTTATCACTTTTACCAGAGAGCGATAGTGATTTGAAATTAAATCGCCGTAAGTGAAAGAATTTGATAATCGGAATTCCACTGTATAACTTTTATCTGCCGCCCGTTATTGTTTCTTTTTTACGGCGGACTATTATGGTTTAAGCGTTAACCTGTGGCTGTTGATGGCACTGTTAGGATAAGACTGGCCGAAGGTAAGGTAGAACGAGGGCGTCAGTGGTGCCGTGCGTAGCACGTGATCCCCGGAAGGGATCGTGGTCCGATCTGGCCTGTGGTCCAAGCTTTGCAAATACCTCAACATCATTGTGGTTGAATTTAGTAGTATTTGTTAAACTGACACTGTACAGATTGACACTGTCTTCTTTGTCCAGTTAAAGGAACATAGGAACAAGCTAAATCGTCGCTCTCAGACTATCATCTGACAATCCGATAACGCCAGCCAATTCGTCGTGTCTCCTGTTCCAAGTTGCATGCTAATGTCATCGTCGGCTTCCTGTGGCCATCTGGCCTCGAAGTAGACGACGCTTGACGTGTGCGCCGAGAGAGCGGCAAGTGAAAGTGGCTGCAGTGAGAGTGGCAGCGTGTGCGTGTGTATGTATGTGTGAGTCTATGTATGTATGTGTCTGTGCGTATGCGTGTGTCGGTGTGTATGTATGTATGTGTGTATGTGTGTGGTGTGTATGTGGTGTATGTGATGTGTGTGGCGTGTGTGCGCATATATATATTGTGTGTATGTGTGTGTGTGTGTGTGTGTGTGTGTTTGTGTGCCTTTATTTGCGACCATGCTCTTAATAGAGCTCTCTCTCTCTCTTCTGGCCTACCCAGCCGGCCGGCCGGCCGGCGATGCCCATATCTAATTCATGTCGAATACTTGTTAGCGCAGCGGCGGCGGCGGTGGCGGCGGCACTGGCAGGGCGGCGGCAGCAGCAAGGCCGAAATGCCGCCGATCTGGCATTTCTCTCCATCCAGCCCGCACACGGGCCTCACCCGTCCTCCTCAGCTCACTCCGTCCGTCCGTCCATCCGTCCATGTGCGCGATTGTGTGTGCGTGTGTGTATGTGTATGTGTGTGTATGTACATGTGTATGTGTATGTGTATGTGTGACACTCCGACCTCAAAAACGTCGTCTCGCCGATTAGACGGATTTCACTGGTTTCGTTATATTTTCATCGTTTCGACGTTCTCATTTCTTCCTAACTTCAACCAACCGCTGTTCTCTTTTTTCTGTTCATTTTTAGTTTAATATTTGCGTTTACATTCCATCGTATTTATTTTAACTGAATCTGCTGGTTTGTTGAGATCGGTTTTACGTCGTGATTGAAATTGATATACAGCAACTATTCTTTTAATTTCGTCTTCGCTTACATTTGGTTCTGATTGGCTGTCTTAGCAGGTTGCTATCCTGATATACTGTTTCCTTAATTGCCTTCTATCTACACGAATCGTAGAATTGAGAGCCTTGGTGACGAAAGGTACCGAGAAGTTTTCGCCGAAAAGTTCGCAACCTCTTTTCTGAGGCTCTTGTGGTTGACACTCCATAGGTTCTTCAATTATATGAATTTTTTCGTCTTCGTGCCGGAAAACTACTTAAGACCTACGCCACTTAATCCATCTTCTATGTACCATGTGTAGAACGGAAATGCTGTTTTTTGCGGCTTTAAAATGATTACCGTTGAGTTTGAAGAGATTGTTTGCCTAAAGGATAAATGTAGATCTTGGCACGAGACTATGTATTGTAAAGTCACCGTTTTTCCTTTGTTTATTTTATATCTATGATTTTTATGTTGGTTATTGGTTATTGGTTTTTATATTGGTTTTAAGACAGTAAAATTTTGTGTTAAAGTACGTAAATACTCTTTTCGTGTTCGTAGTTTCCTTTCGTTAATGATTATTGTCGAAAGCAAATATGGTGTCAGTGGTCAGTTAGTGGTTGCATGGTGCTTAATGAGCGCGCAGGTGTGCGTCTGCTTATAGGCCTGTGTCGGTGTGTGATGGTTTGCTTGGATCGACAAATCAATAGTTGTTCAAAAGTATTTTGGGGTTGTAGAAATCTGAATCTCTACTACGAGTCCTTAAATAGACTATGAATACTTGACTTATAAGTAATCTAGACTGGGATTTTATTCCCGAGGTAAAATTTTCTTTTAACCATAAGGGAAGTTTGTTCTTGTAGCGTAGGTTTGGTACGTAGAATTCTATGGCTGGAGTGTGATTAGTTAAATGCTTCAATATTCGATATTCTTAGTTTCGGTATCACACCTTCATAAGTGACAGATAACACGGCCTCATGATATCGGACTCTTGGAAGGCTACTTGAAATTAAGAAAAATCGCATGAAGTATATATTTTATTGCTGTTGCCTTTTTCTTAAAATGGATACTTATAGTGGGGTTGTGGTGAGACTGCTATGCTTCAATTTTCCTTCCATGTTTTGAAATGTTAGTCAGTTCGGACTATCATATCCATGATCGAGTGCTATTTATTATTCCCCGCACATTGCGCATGTTTTACGATTCCTATGCCGTTTTTGCTCCTTTTTTTTCCTGAGATGAACATATAAACGCTAAGATCATGTGAATGGCTTTTGTTGTTTTGTTGTTCATAAGTATAAAATAAGGTGGAAAGATGGAACCACTTTAAACATTTTTGGTACTTTTCGATCTTTTCTGTTCGTACAAAGCTTTACACTTAGTGTGACGATGTAGTGTGGCCTAAAGTACTATTTGTTCTCTACGAATTAGCGCACCGTACCCCTTTTCATGCCAAAGAACTCCATTGTCTTTCTAATGGTCATGAAATATTATAAAGCTGAGAAATATTTATTTATAAAAATGATTTACTACTGTTACTATTACGGTTATTATTGTTTTGAGTATATTTTCGTATTATCCGTCACGTATAATCTCGATTCCTAAATAGTCATATTTGATCGCTTTCACAAGTTTCTCTTCCGGACAAATTTTTTGTTGCTATTTTTTTCTGTATGCACATACACATATAGATGTATATATATATATATATATATGTATATATATAGTGGTTTTTAGTGTCAGCGTTCTTAAATGGTGTTCTTATTCGTTTAAAATGAGATTTGTGAAAAGGAGCTCAGCACTTCCGCTTTTTTCCTTGAAAACCAATAGGAAGAATTAATGGATAATATGTTAAACAGTGGATGAGAATGCGAAAATGTCGATGAATGTTATAGATTGCTGGGATTGATAGTGGGCATTACAAGGTTCTCTGCAATAATCACAAAAGAACTCATTTATTTCCTATGTTTAGGTGTTATTAAACAAAAAGCAAAAAGCGCTATGTTTCGTTAAACTTGGAAATAAACTGTGGCAGAGTTCGTTTAACCATAGCAAATCTTTTCAAATGTTTTCGACTTCAGTTTTTTCTATTGGAATCATTCGTACGTATTGTATATACATAATTTATTGCGACGGCTGGGAGAACAGCGTCGTTGTCTATGACGTTCGTTCTGGCTGGCAGTTTAGTGTTGCCCATTAACTCTCACCAATCCGCTCCCGCTCTCTCCTCTTTAGCCATCCACGTGTACTCCTGTTGGAGAAAAGCCTAATCAACAAATATTCGCCTTATAGATAATAGTCCACTGAGTGTAGCCGCAGCAGCAGCTTCCGCAGAGCCGACGCCAGTACTGCCCGTCGAGCGACCGCAGAACATTCACGGCATCATCGCCAGTCAGTTCCTTGCTTCGCTATCATTTTTTTTCTTTTCCAAGTTAGTAAATATTTTCTTGTTCAATAAACAATTCTCTATTTCTGTTTCATATCTCCCTGTATACTAATCTGAAGTTTTTCATGAAACGCGAGCTGAATGCGTATTTTAGAACAGCGAGAATTTGGCGTGATCGCGTGCATAGAAATATCCATGCCAGCAAACTATAAGGAATCCTCTCTTTTTTCTGCGCTTGTGCTTTTCCTACTTATTTTCTTCTATTCATCCAAGTGTAATGAATTTTAAGCAGTGCGTGAAAAAATTTGTCTGGTTCTGATTTCCGCTGTACAGGTGCTGCGTTGCCGAATCCTACCTGCACTATTTATTTTTTCCTCACCGGTTCAAGCGTGGAATTTCTTGAAACGTTGTATGAGCTTAATTCCACATTCATTTTTATATAGTGTCATCGGCGCGAAACATGAACGGGCCAGCTGGCGCAAGGCCGTTGGTGGCGTTGCTGGATGGTCGAGACTGTACCATCGAGATGCCACTACTGAAGGATGTGGCGACAGTGGCCTTTTGTGACGCGCAGTCGACGCATGAAATTCACGAAAAGGTTGGTTTTTTTTGGAAGATTTTTTTTGCTTTTTTCTGTCGAAATCTATCGACACTTGGCTAAATTTTGCCGCCATCTTGACGGGTTGTGGTCCAAATTTTGAAAAATATTGGTGCTGTAATCTGTACCGTACCTTTGTATACAGATGATGTCCACATGCTTTTAAAATTTAGAACTTCCTGTGAGGAGTGATAAAATGCGTAAGATAATTTGTTACAAGTTGTGAAATTAGGAAGCGAAGAAGGGAAAGCGAGAACAATATTTTTCTTAGAAGCACTTGGATGTACTGGATAGTCTTTCTTAACCCCTTGCAGTGCAAAACAATATGCTTATGGATTTACTTACAAATTCTAGTTAATGAGGAATTCTCAGTGGTCGTGTAATCGACGCTTCTTTTACGACGAGCGCGATGGATGGCTGTCTACAGCTGGATAAGATGGAAATCCTTAACCAACAACAGTTCATTTTTCTCCTCTAGGATTTGCTGTCGTCACACGATAACAACGGTGGTGGATTTCAGCGCCGCGTAACGGGTGACGTTTGGACGCGTGCAATGCGACATGTACACGCTAGGGCATTCTCGTGTCGCCCGTGTTCCTCCTCATCATGTTGGTTACGCTTCTCTCCGCCTTGCCCTCCGCCTTGCCTCCGCGTTACATCCGCCTTCTCTCTCCGCCATTGATTTTCTTCGCATTGCACGAATTATTCACGCGAATCACTCTGATACCCACAACACAGCAGCACTCATAATGACGAGCAACGTACGGAATAGAATCGGCGAAATGGGACTGGTGGTCGGCCGTCTGTCTTAGATGAGTGGCACTGAGTGAATCGCTTACTTTTATTGAAGACTACCCACAGCTGCAAAAATATCCATCATATATCCCGCACCAATGCACGTTGTTCTGAAGTGACGACAATTTTCACCACAAACATTTCTAGGTCTGAATTTCAACTTTTTCCTATTGGCAAAGAAACAGTGTTGAAACGTAACGCATTCATTCAAACAGTTTTATGGTTTATTAGTAAGTCGTTCCTTTTCTTCAATAAAATTATGGACATTGGTGTTTCAGATATAGTGGCGAAAGTACACCAATTATCCTTAAGAGATTTTTTTTTGTTAGCAGTCCCTTGTTATTCTTAGAAGTGAATCCGTCACGATTGCCGTCAACATTACTATGAAATGTTTGCATTATAATGTCACTCAGGTCTGTCAACATTCGCAGCGCATCTGCTGCAATATCACAGACGGGATGTTATTTAATATTAACGAATCAGCATTGCCATACCAGCCCATGGCAGTAGCGCTAGTAATGACTTTTTAAATGAGCTGGCCAAATTGAGTCATGTGGTTGTCGATTACACTTATGTTTTCTGAAAGGGTAGTACTAGTAGTGCTGCGCACAATTAAAAACGAAAGATATCTTCAGGTAGTGTTTAGACAGCACTTCACAGTTTTCACTACTAGCAACCATAAACACCACGTGAAAATTTCACGTTTTTGATGATTGAGGACGAGACATAACAATGATTCAGGTGCTGAATGAAGCTGTCGCAGCACTCATGTATCATTCGATTAAACTGGAAAAAGAAGATCTGGAAAAGTTTAAAGCATTGCGGGTGGTTGTGAAGATCGGCTATGGTTTCGATAACATTGACGTGAAGGCGGCTACAGAATTAGGTAGGTATACATTATCTACTGGGTGCACTCCATCCAACTCTATTGGAATTTAATGGGGTGATTTCTAGGAAGGCGATCTCATGCCGAGGGTAGCCGTTGTTGATTTCCAATAATGCTAAAGCTTTTTGTGAGTAGAATGGCGAAAAATCGGCCGTATACGATGTCTTGATACGGCATTATTTTTGATGCAGTTTAGACGTTTACGTATTCTCAGGGGATCCCTATGGGACATCAAGTTAAAATCGACAACGGTCCAGCCGGCGGTGATGTGCATTTCGAGCAGATCGCACTTTCCTATTGACGAAGTAATAAGTGCTGCACACCCCTGTGCTGTGGCAGCTAGCTAGCTAAAAGAGTGTCCTTTTAGCCAACAGAAATGGACGCAAATGCGATTAGAGCTCTCAAGCATATTTCGTAAAGTGAGAGTGAGAGACATATTGTTTACGTTTAAAAGAATCTGAGCTCTGCTCAGTCTTTGTGATTTTCAATCAAGCGCCACATTATAGCGCTATGAATACATTGCCCGATCGTTTGACTAGTGTACGCGCCCTCGATGAAAAGTACACACATCATTCACCTAATACGCCATTAATGCATTTGTCGTTGTACCACGACGCTGTTGGAGGAGTAAGACATAAATAATTTGTTGCTGGAATGGAGATGCTCTGTGGAAAATATGGAAGAAATTTGCATATATATATATTGCGCTAAACTGAATGCTAAAGCACCCAAATGTTCAAATTGGAGTACAGCAATGATTTAAAAAGCATCGAAGAGACATCGACCTCAAATGAAGAAATTTTTGTTGCAATACAGATAAGGTTATGTACAAATTACAGAGCACTTTGTTTGCGTCGCGCATTGTTTTGCTCCATGCCGACAAACACTGAAGACGTTTCGATATGGCTTCAATCTGGCAGACTTGTTTACAGAACACGAACAGATTAACTTTTCCATCGGCTAGCCCAAGTATGCCATTGTTGACCACGCTAGTGTTCGCCACCTTAGCAAATTAAGTGCTAAAACACGAATACAGCGGATTATGCTTCTGACGTGCATTATTTCCTTTAATCTCGACCATGTACGTTTTAAAAGTGAGCAGAAGAAGACGGAAGAGACATATCTCACATGACAATTTCTGTCTTATTTTTATGGGAATCAGTGCAGGCCTTTTTTTCGTTTTGAACAGTGTATTTTTAAAAAAACACAAGAAAGCCATACCTTGCGGAATATGTTAACATTTCTTATTCCATATTTATTTATACGTTCTTATGAGCTGATCTTACTGGGCTGAGGCAAGGTTGGTTCAGTTGTCGTCGTTGTTTGATGGTTGACGTTTCTGCGATTCCGCTTCCCTCAGAGACGTGCTGTTGTAAGTGGAAATAAAGTCCATTAGTGGTCCAGTGGTAAAGTGCTCATTTGCCACAAGGACCATCCGGGTTTGATTCCAGGTCGATACCCTAACTGTGGCAACGTCCACACTTATAGGGATGCCACGTTCTCAACACTCCTGTCGTCATAAGAGTGAACGTCACCACCAGCGGCGCATTGACCGGCATTAGAACCAGGGTCGCCCGCGTGGCAGGCAAGCACCCTACTACTGGACCACCAATGGCGCAGAGTTTCGCCCGAAAGAGCACGGCTCTGACGAAAGCGAAATGTCACCCGTCGACAAACAACAACAACAACAAAAACAGTAACAAGGATAACAATACTAACTTCGCATCAGATCACCAGTATCAATTATAAGAACGTATAAATAAATATATCAATTATTTATGCTGTGGTTTGGTCTTTCGAGTTTTTTTCCTGTTGTTGTTCTATTATTGATTTGTTTCCAAATACTTACTAATAGCTGTAAGGTAGTTCTTTCCTTGTTAAAATGTAGTAAAAACCCAGGACAGAATGCGTAAATGACATCGTGAGCTTCTTGGCTTTATTGAAGTTCATTGGATCTAGGGGGTAATACATTGTTTGGAAACGTAAAGTGAACCAATCTCGATTCTTTGCATAGGATTGGTAACTATATGAATTTGTATATTACTTCCTCAATTTCTGTCCTATTTCAGGAGCATTATTTGCTTAATGTGTTTTTGTTTAATTACTAGGTAACCACAGCCAACTAATATTTTAGGGATTGCCGTTTGTCATACACCTGGTTATTGTATAGAAGAAATTGCCGACTTCACTATATCTCTAATCCTAAATCTCTACAGAAGAACATACTGGCTCGCGAAAGCTGTCAGTGAGGGCAAGAAAGTGCGTTCAGTTTACATTATTCCCCTACTTCGTTTTTTCGAAAGCTTTCCATAAATACGCAAATATTGTCCGATCTCTTGGTATTAATTTAACTTTCAAAAGTTGTATCAAGAAACGCCGTTTGTCTCTATTAAGTTCACAGTCACATAAATTGTTTTTTTTTTTAATTTCTGGGCCTATATTCGACATTTCTTCGGTCCTTTATAGGTAGTTGGTGCCGAACACGTGCGAGAAGTAGCTGGAGGTAGTAGACGTATGCGTGGAGATATTCTGGGCATCATCGGTATGGGACGTGTAGGAACTGCTGTGGCTCTGCGAGCACGTTCATTTGGGATGAACATCGTGTTTTATGATCCATTCGTCCCGGATGGTTACGAAAATGCTCTCGGGGTTGAGAGGTTTGTTTCACTTTGATCACCAACGAAGCATGTGTCGTTCCTATCCCACTCTAGAGGAGGTGGACACAAAGTGGTTTCCATGTGTTTCTCAGGCAACTTGTTTATTGGCTTCAAACCTAATAAAAATGCGACATACGATCCCATGCACTGGTTCACAATCACGTTATCTGAATGACTGGCCTACAAATATGATTTTGTGCTTATGGAAAATCTGTGTCAGTTTCGTACTGCACAAGAGGGAAACCAATTCCTTGAGTTCACCTGTAGTATTAGAAGGGAAGTTCATGTTTTAGTGCGAGACCATATTCCGAATATGGAAATTCTTCACTCACTACTGTCGTGACTAGTCGACTTGAAATCTCATGCATCAGGAAGAATTATCTGTTACTGCCCACTGTGTTATAATTTATCTGCTGATTTTTTTCTAATAAGTTTTCTTCACCAGTTTGTGACGTTAGCTCTATAGGAAATAGTAAACACGTCATTTGATAATGTAATGCGACCGATACAATCCATGTTTCAGATGTTATGCATTAGACGATTTATTGATGAAGAGCGATGCGATTTCACTGCATTGTTTGCTGACAGATGAGACTCGACATATTATCAACGAACAGACCCTAAAGCAGTGTCGCCCTGGTGTGTTCATCATCAACACAAGTCGAGGTGGTCTGATCGATGAGGTGAGATGATAACTGTAGACAAGATTAGCACTGCAATAAATAAAAGAGATAGAGATCTTGTGATCAATCTCTGAAGGATGCGTCATGCATTCGACTTCATTAAACACCAGTGGAGGTGATTAAATGCATATCTGGCCTTTACAATGACTCTCCGTGGCTTACCAATATATCGCGCCAGTGTTGCTATCCTCCCAAACAAACAGTCTCGTAGCAATTTGCCGACCCCTGAGGAATGAAAGGCTTGCTGGACCAGGGGAATTGATCCCATGTTTACTGTAGGGTGCCTCTGTCCACTGCGCTACACGTCCCTTTAGTTGGCATTTCCACTTTTTAAATTCTGTCTTCGACGTTAGAATGAACATTTCGTTTTTCTAAGCGACTTGCTTCTCCATCGTCTGGTGTTCAAAACCGTTTTGTAGTCTGATATTTTTCCCTTTGTACTAAAAGTTTATTTCTTCCGTCTGTGATAACTTGGGTGATATTTCATTTCGTCACATTTTCTTGTTCTTCGACTGGTAATTTGTATTTGGACTTTACTAGTTTTACAATTTATGGCGACTTATGTCAAGAATATATTGCTTAGCCGTTATGACCTGGTGTAAAATGTTTGTGGTTCTTTATGTAGAGCTAATCCGGCCATTAATGACTTGCTCAATAAAATAGTTATCTTGTTACGTTCATAATGTTGTTTTTATTTCGAGGCACCGCTGTCCATTAAAGGTTCTGAGAAGTATTGCACAATTGCCACAATTTCGTCCTTCGCTTTTCAATGATTTTTTAAATTTGCTTTTGAATATCATCATGCAAACAGTCAGAGTCTACATTGGTCAGTATTCACCAAGAGATATATTCTTATTGATTAGTAGTTTTAAGGCGGATCTCGCAACGTTTTTGAAAAGTGGTCATGTTAGAGGAGCAGCTCTTGATGTTCATGAACAGGAACCATACGAAGGCAATATAATGAGTGTGTTCCATTTGTATTTTCTTTATTGTTATGTTTACTTAAATAGCAGTTAGAGTCCTTATCGAACTGCATCTTTTAGCCTATGCTTATATGTTTTCGTATCAAAAAGATTTGAACGTGCCTGGTTCAGATCCACTTTCTCAATGTCCCAATGTAATACATACGCCTCATGCATCATGGTTTTCCGATAGTTCGTGTAAAGAATTACGAGTGAATGCAGCTAAAGAGGTGGGAAATTAATAGTAGCAAGTAGTATCGCACTACATGCGCTTGTCGCATCTAACAGCTTGAACGTAATCAATTCAGGTTCGACGAGCAATTTTAAATCGCTTTCCTAACGATCTGCTCAACTGCGTCAACAAAGACCAGCTTCTGGCAAACGGCGGTGGTGCTAGAAGGGCTTTAGCCGCAGCTGCTGCGGCTGCAGCTAATCAACCTGGTCCTAGTAGCTATAACCCACTTGTAGGAATGCAAAACTTTGGTGAGTTGACTTCTATTTGTCAATTATTCAATCATATAATTCATGGAATTTTTGTTATTGTCTCTGTCGAACCACAAATCTACTGTTCTCTCTAAGTAGATAATTTTCAACAACTAGCACATTATTAACTTTTTTATTTGCTGCCTTTTACAATTTTTCACGGCAGGATATTATGCGAAATACAACCACAATGATGCTGAGACATTTGGAAAACTGTAGACCGCAGGTGTCTGCCGTGGGGAACGAACGCGCAATTACCTTTCCGAGGGCTAACGCGTTCACTACCACACCATGCGGGTCCTTCGTTTTGCATGCCTATTACCTAGTTTTCTATCGATCAGTGCCATCAGCAATCACCCATCAACGCGATTGATCTAGGCTATACAAATCGGCATTGAACCCAGTTAAGCTGAAGCTGTTTTCCACTAGCACAATATATTCGTCAAATGTAAATTCATCGTGATGAAAGGGACATGGCGCACTTCGTATTGCAGAAGCTCAAGTGGTCTCCTCGTAACGTTTTTCTCAGTGACTTCATCACATTTCAAGTTATCTGCAAATTTCCCGGAACTGGAATCGGAAAGTCTTTTTTTTTGCTTTCACTGTCGAAATGTCCATTTATTGCGAAGTTTCATGACGATAGTTTATTGTTTGTTAGCCCACGGAACTGGGCTGTTTTGTAAATTTGAGCTGGTGGGGTCAGCAGTAAATACATATTCTTAGAGGCACCAGACCAAATATAAATAGCGCAATTATGTTTAGATTGTTGTTTTGCCTTAGATGGTCTACTCAACGCTCGCGTATCAAAAAACGACAAGCATTGTCTCGGCTCTTGGCAACAAATTCCAATGATTAGCGTGAGACTTTCACAACTTTTGCATAGGATCCATTCCAATGTGCATACGGTTGATTCCGGAAGTATTCACAACCAGCACTTTGCGAGTGTATCCATCATCATAACTCATTTTTTGATGAAATGGGACCTGCAGCTTTCCTTCGGTGACTTACACGTTCCGATCTACTTTTAGTGGTGCCAGCTTAAAATCCATACAAAATGTCTGCGCAAGTTTTCAGGCATGCTTATTATCGTAGTGCTTCTCCTGTATGTCTCGAGAAACTTTCTATTTACTTCTGGTGCTTTTGGTTGGAAAATCACGGAATTTAACTCTGAATTACCCAAGAATAAGGATAAAACAACATGTAGTGAAAACGAGCGGAAAGATTTTTCGCACGAATAGCGACTTACACGTGTCCAATGAATCATGCCAGCAGCGCAATAGACGAGAATTGTTGAACTCTTGAAGTTTTTGGTGCCGGAATTAAATAAAACATGACAATGAGTTTTTTTAGGTTCCTGTGGATGAAAATGGGCAGCTGATTTATCCATCATTGTATAATGTGTCAACTATAGTCTCGTTATTCATTTCTAAGGAAACACAGGAGCCATTCTTTTTTATTGAAGCACTATGGCATAGGTTTTCTCCTAATTGTTCTTGCGGATGGAAATGTCATTCTTCAGCATGTCTTTACCTGTTGCTAATGAGTCTCTCGTTGTACATCGCAGTTCGGCACCCAGGAACACCCTTCTGGTCACGACGAAGTAGTAAACTATTGAAGGGGAGGGCTGTAACTACGCTATGCTTTTAAATCTAGAATTTTCTATATAAATCTTCCACCTGTCAATGTCTCATTCAATACATGTTTCGAGAACAAAAATTAAGTTTTTTTTTTCTCAAAAATACAGTATTCTACGAATTCCGCATACTATCCTGTGCTTTTCCAGGCTTCAACGGTTTGCCGCAGATGAGCCAAATGGGTGCGTTCCCTTACGGGAATCCGCTGCTGGCTATGGGTGGGATGAATTTAAATCCATTGTTGATGACGCCAAATTCGGCTGCATTGGCGCAGTTTGCGAATCCTGCTGCTGCGCTTTCAACATTGGCTGCGCAGACATCGCAGGCCGCAGTGGTGAATGTGGGTTCCCCAGCTCTGAATGCCACTCCAAGTCCCAATGCCACGTCTGGAAAGTTGGCCAGCCCTCGGAATGGCGGAATCACTCCACCGTCGCCATCGAATGCTGAAGTAAGAGCATTTTTCAAAAAAAAGGTTAAAATGATTCAATACAGTTGTTTTTTAATGCTGCGGTGATATTTGTAACTACTCTGGAAGACGCCGATACCACCGCATGTGTTTTCGTGCTCACCCGCTATTATTGTTGGGCTTGTTATCATCAATTTGACTGAGTTATGTTGGATTCTTTTAGAAAAAAAGGGAGCAAGCGAATGTTCAGTTTCTTCCGACCTTTGACGACGTCAGCATTTTGTGTTTTAGGCTTTTTTCTTCTCAATGTGACTTATTCTTTACCGATATCTATACTTTTTTTTCTTAATTTAATTTCCTCAACATCTCATTACAAACTTTATAGCTTCCCGCCTCGCTGTCAGCGAATTTACCTGGTGCCACAGGTGCGTCTGGTGATGAGATTCGTTCGAAAATTGAGAAAGAAGAGCTCGTTGAAATAAATGGCCAAGGTGAAAATGGGTTAAACGGTGCCAACAACGACGAGTAGTTCGATACACAGCGTATCTCTTCTTTCATCTTTTCTCATCTTGGAGTTATAATGTAATCCTAGTGTTGTTGTTCTAATACAGGGCAACGGCAGCCAAGAAACAATGCAGGACGTTTTGTTTTTTTTAACCACCTCTCCTCTCAGCCCTGTTAGTAGTTCTTGTTGGGGTTGAACTAACGCAGAATTTGAAAACTGTTTCTGTTTGTTTCTTTCTTTTTTCCTGCTTTGATTCCTTTTTTTGCTAGAGAGTGACTATGCAAGCTTTTCCTTATCGAGCATTTCGTGTTACTGCACACGCCGGTTACATTCTTCCCCGTTTTATCCTCTTTTATTGAGTGCATGTGCTTGAATGTTTGTGTGGATGTAGGTATTCATGTGTGTGCGTGATAAATGAGTAGTGTGCAGTGCACATACGTGTGCCTTGTGAGTGGCGTGTTCTCCGTCGCATTATTGCACATGTGTGGGTGGCTGGGTGTGTGTGTTGTGTGTTGTGTATGTATGTATGTATGTATGTATGTATGTATGTATGTATGTATGTGTATGTATGTATGTATGTATGTATGTATGTATGTATGTACGTATGTGTTTGTTGTGTTGTGAGTGTTTAGACGTGTGTGTGTGTGTGTGTATGTGTGTGTGTATGTGTGTGTGTGTGTGTTTGTTTGTGTTTATTTAAGTGTGTGTGTATGTTTACGTGTGCATGAATGAGTGGCGTTGTTCGATCATCGTTCGGATGGACCGATGAGAATTTGCCACGAAATGATCTCGAGAATTCGGCGCTAGTCAGCTACCATGTCTGTCCTCTTTCACGAATCCCTACATCCTTGACTTGTTCCGCTGATAAATTGCCATTGAGAAGTTTTTCTGTACTTTTTTACATTGAATTCAAACTTTTTCGTGGTTTTATCCTCTCACCTACTTTGTTGTTTTTTCCTCATAATCCAGCTTTAAGATGTATTTACCAGGTGAGATGCAATTGATGGTCTTGCAAACATCGTTAAAATCTATTGGTCGTCTAGTTTATTCACTTTTTCTTGCAGTTTTATTTGAATATCGGTGAATATGTGACGTTGGCTTATCCAGCGTTTATGCAAGCTATGGTACTTAGTTCATTTTGATTCTTAAGTGTCATCGTTATTGGTTCATTTGTTTGGTCATTTATGGCCGTGGACGTGTTCCCTTCTATCAGTTTTTTCGACAACCTTTATGTCTTTACCACTAGACAATAACTAGATCGTTCGAGGTTGTCATTAATGGTTGTACGTGTGGATACTGTTTCACACGAATCCGATACTTGTTAATTAAATAGGGATAATATTCGTTCAGCATAATAAAAGATGCCACTAAAGCTTTTTTTGTACTATATTTACCAGCTCACGAACCCGTACGATGGAAAGTGAATGACTGGAGGAGGCACAGGCAAATGGATGGCAATGAATTGAAAATTGTGTGACTTTGATGACGAGACAATATCTGCTGCAAAACAAATTTTCACAGCATTCCTTTGAGCAGTTCAAATTCTTTTGAAAGTTTCATGTAGTGATAATCGGATTTCAAAGAAAGTTTGTTTCTAGGTCATCCAGTTCTGTTGATTTCCAGTAGAAGTTGTTCATAGAAAAATGACAAATGAAGTCCATCACTTTCAAGTTAATACATTGTTAAGGGGATTAAGCGTGAGCGTATGCTTACTGTTGAGATAGACTGATTCGTAGGAGTGTGTCCTACTCCATAGTGAGTGGATTATACTTACATCTTTCGTATACATGTAACTACATTTATGCACACATGCTTGGTTGTACCTGGATGTATGCTTATTTTACAAACCTTGCAACCAAACCCTACAGGCGGATAGCCCGTGACAAGGTGACTGAAGTACACGGGAATTTTAGGGTCGGTCGTCTTCAACAGATGAACTGTACACCAGCCCGGTAAACCTGATATGCTGCTAATGAGTTTATCCAGCTTCCCTGAGGCTGATTAATTGAGGGCGGCATCCTGCTCGCGAAAAAGGGGTCAAATATGAAGATGATACCCTACCAGCTCCTTAAGTGTAGCTCGTTAGGAAGCTCTTACATGGGCGAATGTAGAGCGTATTTGACCAATTGCTCCTCTACTCAACGATCAAGGGAATTGCAAGTTATGCAGATGAATACAAAATTTACTGGAACAAATGAATTATTCTATATTACTAGTACATGTGATGACTTCTCGGAAATAGGATCGTACATTGTCTTAATATCGCAGTTGGAAAAGAGAATTCCATACACAACAACGAAGAACAGTTTCACTTCTATAATGTGCACTGATATTCTTGTGAAAAATTTGAACAGCAACCAACGGTATAGATTCGAAAGTCCTAGGCAAATCTTGAACACTCAAATGGAGAAGATTTGCGATTCGCTCACCATCTCCACTAGTGTTGGCGATTACTTATAAGCTGCTTTAAAGTGCCGGATTACACGCTTCGTATGTTTTCCTGTAAGTCGATAGCCGTGAGCCATTCGGTAATGCGATTGGTGACGTTGTCGCAGCCAACATTAGCTGTTGTTGGCCTATCACAGCTCAAAATCGGAATATTCTTTGATGATATGCACGGTCGTTCCGTTGCTATTGCCATAGTAAGATCTGGAACCAAACATTGGGATACATCTTTTTACAAGTTCGAATTAAGCGAAAACTCTCACTACTTACAAATATTGGAGCACAATCAACTGAATATCTCAAAAGACTTTTCCTCTATTGTACATATTAATTGTGTCAAGGAGTATGATTTTGGATCATTTTCACCTTTTCCCATTGTACTTCATAATTTCAACAATCTCACTACGTGTAATCTCACTTCTCTATTGGCACCTATCTAATTGCTGCTTTAGCAATTTCGCCAATATTCGCCAGTAATCGCCATTTTCCCTCTCGCTTTTATTCTTCTCGCAAACAATAATCGGAATAATATGGGAAATTTGATGGATGACTAGAGAAATAATAACTCTAACTATAGCAAAATCCTAGTTTTAGCGGCTTAGAATACCTGATAAGCTTTTTGTGCCTCTGAGTGAATACGATTTTAATTCGAATGCATCTGGCAACGACGATTTCGAGCAGTTTTTCACGTCAACGTCCAGCTGGTCAGAGTTCTTAAAGTTATCTCATGAATTTATCTGGATGTACTATGTGGTATCGCAACTGCTACAACTGCGCAAATCATATAAGAGAAAAAGAAAGCAATGAAACTGACTTGTATTTGAGCGTGTATTGACCAGTGCGAAGAGAACAGACTGGGCTTGGAAGCGCTCTGCTGAACATTCAACCAATCACCTTTTTGAATGTACATAGTCCGCTATACTTCATGAATTTGCTGAAAAAATTCAAATCAGTGTAACGAATTATAGAATTTGATGAATTGTAAGCGATCACAGCACGGATCAATGAGCTTAATTATTTATTTTTCTATGAAATATAAGATTACGGGGACATGGTTGAACTCAGCCTAAGATTTTTGAGATGGACCCCTGAAAATTTGCTATTAAATCGACTTAATTTGGAAAGAAAGAAGAACGGTAGTATTTATTTCACGAAGTTGCGCTTGCTGTTGCTACCCTGTTCAGACATACATACACGCATCGTACATACATATATACATGCATACATACATGCATACATACACAGTGCACACTTCGATAGCATCTTTCGAAACTAATGCTTAAGAGGTATAAAAGTGAGTGAATAGGAAAACGAAAAAAAGACAAAAGAGAGAGAGAGAGGTGAAACGAAAGACGCGCATGGTGTGGTGGTGAACGCGTTAACTCCCAGAAAGGGTATCACGCGTTCGTTCCCCTCCGCAGACACCTGCAGTCTGAAGTTTTGCGAATATCTCAGCATCATTATGGTTAAAACAAAGAAATTTTAATTTATTGGCTTTGAAGTAGTAAATAGTAACAGGATAAAAGTAAAATCAGTAATATTTTGAAACCGACTTTCCTTGAATCTCGGTATCACTAATCAATATGTATTCTTTCTTTGATGAGCTTACACGAGGTTGATAATGATGTTTATTTTCGGCTAACGTTTCGACGTCTTCGTCTTCCTCAGAGCCGATGATCCGAGTCGATGGTCCTCGCTTGTTATTCGTCTCGACGTGGCAGCTTCGCCTTCGTGTCGAGTCAGGTCTTCTTCAGTGAGCCATCTCCTCGAATGAGGCATCCTTACTCAGTGATGCCCTTTTATACACGATGCTGATGGTGGATATAATGATAATGTCCGGTGATAACAACTTGTTTTTCTTCCGGACATAATCATCGCGCACATCATGTAGAAATCGGTGTTGTTATCGGCTAGCACAAAGCGTAGTAATATTTCGAAACCGACTTTCCTTGAATCTCGGTATCACTAATCGATATGTATTCTTTTTTTGATGAGCTTACACGAGGTTGATAATGATGCTTATTTTCGGCTAACGTTTCGACGTCTTCGTCTTCCTCAGAGCCGATGATCCGAGTCGATGGTCCTCGCTAACAAGTTGTTATCACCGGACATTATCATTATATCCACCATCAGCATCGTGTATAAAAGGGCATCACTGAGTAAGGATGCCTCATTCGAGGAGATGGCTCACTGAAGAAGACATAACTCGACACGAAGGCGAAGCTGCTACGTCGAGACGAATAACAAGCGAGGATCATCGGCTCTGAGGAAGACGAAGACGTCGAAACGTTAGCCGAAAATAAATATCATTATCAACCTCGTGTAAGCTCATCAGAGAAAGAATACATGGTAAAATCAGTTATGGTCAAATTAAAAGCCTTGTGGGTGTATTGAACTGCAGTTCATGCTACAATGTGGTTTGAATGTTGAAATTAACGATATCTTGCTGTAGTGATTTGTTAAGTAAATAGATAGAAATACGGTGCCGCGAAAAAGTGGTAGGTAGTAAGTAAAAGTTAAACAATCTAAGCGCTCATATATCGCGGTGGTTAAAAGTGTCGTGCAATACACATGGTTTTAACCCAAGCCACAGACTCAGTAAGTCTTCCATGTTTTCAGGGTCGGCAATTTGATATCACATCAGTCTGGGAGGACAGCATCACTAACTCGACACACGGATAAACATCGAAAATCACTGTTTAGGTCAAGTACGCATTCAATCACCTCTAACGATGCTTGGTAAAGTCGAATGCACGGCGTACCCTTCACGGATTGATCAACATCGGGAGCTTTAATTTTTGTTTTTTAGATAATGAAAATATATGAATATAAGTAATATCTAGATAATCAAATAACTTAATTTCAACGACAACTGCTGATAGCATCTCATTGACGTCGATAGCAGAATGTCACGTTGCCCCGGTAAATTATATTTCAAATTCTTTTCGTTCTAGTTCAAAAGTCTTCAATAAAGGAATTTCTGCAAAGACACCACGTAGCTTGGTACCAATGCATGAAAATGATGAACCATTTAAGATAATTTTCACCTGATGTTCATTTCGCGAAACTGAAAATTGACCAAGAGGACGCCTTATTTGGATGGGCAGTAATTCGCCTTCCAGGAAACCTTTAGCAGAATTTCCTCATGGGTGGGATGAGCTCGGGAATAAATTAAAGTGCTCTATTATTCTCCGTTCTAGCTTCGAACAAGAAGATATTGATTCATTTCTCATATTTTGACAAGTTGTGATTGAACTTGTGAAGTATTTTTGAAAACAAGGATAATTTATTGGAGCAACGATAGCAAAAATCAACACACAACGAAGCATTTTTGGTAGATGGTGCGCATTTGAGTAACATTGGAATGGATTCCGAAAGTTTCGGATTGATGCCAAGAGAGGCGAATACGTGTTATATAGCGTTAAAACTTTCTATTTTGTTTCTTTTCTTGTTGTTCCATAACTAGATAAAATGGATGGTGAAGAGAAATTTGGATTACGTGGCCAGCTTGAATCCGATCAATTGCTTGGTTGTTGAGCTTTATTAAGTCGCAATGATGTGAACATAGTGAAAGCTGAATGAAATTCTTAAGCTAGTCGACACCGATAATACCAGTATTTATCACTATGAATGTGAAGTAGTTGGACTAAAAAACGACTTGAAGATGTTCTCCGAAAAATGTCCGTTATTGATTGAGGCGTCATGCAAAATTGAGAGTAGATTGCATTAACGAGAGAGGGCCTCATCGTTTTTTCTCCCCTAAAGTGAACGTACTCAAACAAATATCTCACTCAGAAGTCTTCGACACGCTCCGACATGTTTGACATTGAAGTGAATAAAAAATGCGGAAACAGAAAATATCAGGGCAATGATAAACACAGTCTGAGAAACAACATCAAAGAGAAAACAGTTAATGTTACGTATTTCAAAAAGGTTAATGTTTGAAACGATCAAAACGAAATGAGTAGTGACGATTTTAAGAAGAGATCACAATCAATGATATTTCTGGGCAGTAATGGGGATTCAAAGTATTAGATATTCTTTGCACGCTCGGTTGATAGTCTAAGGATTGTCTGATGTCATGGAGGAACCACTAAGGATTCTCTGATGTCATGGAGGAACCAGAGTTGCAAGCCACCAAACCTCCTTTAGAAACATGTGGTGACGAACTGAGAAAACTATTACACTGCTATCACGAGTCTCTAGGGAAAAGCGCTCCCGACCAGTATTCAACATTTCAGTCACCAGAAAAGCATATAGATCTCAAAGTTGCTGCAGAATTCATGAATGAATACGATTACCTCCCTGAACGATCTTTACATGGTGACGAAAAAAATGAGCGAAGTGCAGAAGCCCACATGATAATTGAAGGCAGGTCATTGAAGTATCCATATAAACATGTGTGGTGGAACTTTTAGTAGAGAGTTTAGTTGACCTCATTGTTATAACAAGAATTCGAACATTTATTCCGAAGATCTTCGATAATTAAAGTTATTCTGGTGCCTTTTGCAGTAGTTCCCAGGATCGGCTTTCTATTAACCTCGTCACTGGATTATGAATAATGCGCCGTTTTTCTTTTTGGACAATCGTGAGTTTGCTATACAGCACACCTTTCACTTCCGTGCAAAAAACACACACAGTACAACAGTAGCTGACGCGTCGGCAGTATCGCCTTCTTCTGGACCAGGAAGGCTGAAGAAGGCGATGCTGCTGAGACGTCAGCTACTGTTGTACTGTGTGTGTTTTTTGCACGGAAGTGAAAGGTGTGCTGTATAGCAAACTCACGATTGTCCAAAAAGAAAAGCGACACATTTAAAGTCATTTTATAAAATGAACGTGTAGTGAACGGTTCATTTTGTCACAAATGACAGCTTTGTGTCTGAAACTAAGTCATTTTATGTATATATTAAAGAGGCTGAGATTTTTTAAATGATGCAGGCACTGCGCTAGATGATTAATGACATGGAAAGACGGAGAATGGCAGTAGAAATTCGATTTCAATAAAAGACCACTATTCGTTTCCAGTTTTAGAGAAACATGTTGTTGGTTCGAAGTATGCCGTCGAGTGGTGCAGCTGTTAGTTTCTGTTCTCATTCTTCGTTTCATCTATGGAGAGTATAAGAAAAAAGTTTTTCTTCCGAAGTCATAAATGGAATTCTTGCTTGTCGCCACATAATAGTCATCATGACGATTTTCAGTTGAATAAGATGACGATATTAATCCAGACGCAAGCCTCGTGTGCCACTGCAACGTATCGATCTGAAACCTATATAGGAGTTTGGGTCTATGTATGTTTGTGCGTACGTATGTGTGTATTTGTGTGTGGGTGTGTGTCTTTGTAGATATGTGTGCGTGAATGTATCCGTTTGTGTATCTATAGGAAATTCTGTCTATCATTGGCAGGTACACATCGTTTCACTCTAGAACACGGTAAGTGGTTCTGCATTCTTTTTTCTGGGATCTTCAGATCATATCGCTCATGCTACCAGTGCTAGAAACACACTTGTTAACTAAAGAATAATTTTTCATTGCACCACATACGCTTTCATTAATTTTGGCATTAAGCATTCTAATTTATTTGTTATTCAATATCCTCTCTAAACTATTGCACTTCATTACTTTTCACGGTTAGCTTATTTCTATGAAATACTGCTTGGGGGATATACCGCGTAAAAATCACAATGTAAGGAGAGACGAAGTTTACAAGAGAGTAGAGGACTATATGAGTGGGTTGTAGCTGGTTCGTTTTCTACTTCGCACTGAATTCAGTGATTTTTTATTTTCATTATGAATAATACAGATCCACGAATAAGTAGCGTTTCGACGACAATGTGACATGGCATTTGGATAAAATGTATTCTTTTCTCGAATCCAAATCTCTGGTGTAAAATGGGACTAATTTGTATCCTTTTATTCAATTCCCTTCAATCATCAACAAAATGGAGAATCTGTTTTCGTTTTACCAGCACGAAATCAAAGCGTTCTGCAGATAAGTACGCATAATGTCATCTCATTCATGTTTTTAGGATGAAATCAGGAACTCACAACCTAACAGAAATGCCTCTTCTAACGACGAATCTACGACGAAATTTGTTTGCCTTTTCTTCCTTTTTCTTGGAAATCTGTGACATCAAGTCTTGAAAAGGCAGACATCATTAAAATGTCACAGACAGAGTCTGAAAGTTGCGATTTGCATGTTTTCATAATGACGAACGACGTCGTTAGATATCCAACGAAAGGAAATTTCTTGCTTCAATAACAAAAACCAGTCGATTCACAAACCGACGCCACAGTACATCGAAGATATCAGCTCCCCAGACGAAGTATTCAGTAAATCATGAGAAAATCAGACTTTTTCATTGTTAAAATACAGAGCAAGAAAGCTGGAACAGCTAAAGTGTAATTAGAACTATAAAGTGAAACGTGATGAAGTTAACACTAAAAAAATTCACAGGCAT